AGCTGATGGACTACTAGAGTGGGTAACTCCAGTCTCCTGGTCACTGCAGCCAGGTTTTCCGTTTTCCGTTTCCGCTCGGGAAAGGCATAAAAAATCCTCTTCATGTTGTGTAAACGTATTTACATGTACGGAAGTATCTGCCTTCTGATAGAAATATACTCATGTGGAATGGCCTTACCATCATACTCTTGAACTCCAATACCAGCTAAACCAGTATTTCCTGTCTTACAGGTATCACGCTGTCGGAATATTTCCGCGACATGGGTTATCACGTGAGTATGATGGCTGACTCCACGTCTCGTTGGGCCGAAGCTCTTCGTGAGATTTCTGGTCGACTGGCAGAAATGCCCGCAGGTACAGAACGGCTTCAGAAGTCTCTCATGATAATTATAATGTATGTTTTGAAGAAGAATGGGGGATTGATGGTTATTGCACCGTGTCAAGAAAACAAAACGCGCAGTGGAAGTATGGAGTAGCGTTACGAGGAAAGCAAGTTAATTCCCACTCGTTTGCGGGAATGAGTAGTCTTTGACGACAAACTAATGATAATGAAGCTACAACACTCATCTTGTCAATTGAATTAATGAGATGAGTAAATGAAAGTACAACACATGAAGGATAAAGTTGCCTCATTTTTTAAATGAGTCTTAGCCTTCTGAAGTCATCTTAGGAATAAAGACTAAGATTCTCGCGCGTTGAAGAACGCTGTTTGCAGTACAGAGGAACTCTAAGATAATGAATTCTCGAGGGCTTAGAAAATAAGTTCGTTAGGTTTCTGGTCCATAAGTTTTACAGTTAGTCATTTCGCCCGAACTGAAAAGAAAATCGTTTATTATACCGAGGACTTCTTGTAAGGAGGGTCGTTATATGGGGTTCTGTTGTACACACGTCAGTCTTACACGTGACCGTCATATTTACAGACAGTGGTTACCCAGCATACCTTGGTGCCCGACTGGCTTCGTTCTATGAGCGCGCAGGTCGTGTTCAATGCCTCGGAAACCCACAGAGGGAGGGAAGTGTGACAATTGTCGGCGCAGTATCCCCTCCTGGTGGAGATTTCTCAGACCCCGTGACTTCTGCTACGCTGGGTATTGTCCAGGTTTGTGAAAAAGGAAATGGGGAATTGAGTAGTTAATAGCTAATGCTCTAGCAATGCTACCTTATCTGCTTCGGTTATGAGCACTAAACTTAGGATTTAGACTTAAACTCTAAGCACACTACGCACAAAAAATATATCTCATAAACCGAGTGTGGTGGCCGCACTGAGGGAATATCGGCGCAAGGTCTTCACAGCACGTACCAAAAAGACCGAGCGCCGACATTTTCCCAGTGCAGTCCCGAGCAAGCTTGGTTAGGAAGAGATTTATTACACACGACGTTATAAAAGTGACTTGTTTTTTGCTTTCTTCAACGCCGTGCGATTTTGCGTTCTGCTTTTGTACGTGCCTGTTTGGAGCTTATCACAAGTTCTCAGTACTGACATTAAGAGGTCTAGCCGTAAAACTGTTAGGAGAATTCATGTTTGATCGTTTATTTTGTAATTCAGGTATTTTGGGGCTTGGACAAGAAACTTGCTCAAAGGAAGCATTTTCCGTCCATCAACTGGCTGATCAGTCACAGTAAATACATGAGAGCGTTGGATGATTTCTACGAGAAAAACTATCCAGAATTTGTGGCGCTCAGAACAAAAGTAAAGTATTGTTTAAGTGTCGTTAACTTGCTGAGTCTCCGGTTTGGCAGTATATGCAGTGACTACAAATATGTCTACTCCCCCTCTGGATGGGATGCTATTCCATCGCAAGGTTGCCCCCGACATTCAATTACAACTGTAGTTGATACCCGTTTATACATCTGGGTGGAGAGAAGCACTATGAGAACTCAACACAATAATCCCGACGAGGGCATGATCCCGGAACACTCCTTCCGGACCTGCGCACTTACCTAAAAAAACTTTTGTTTTTTTTCAATGTTAGTGAAATAGAATAGAGGACTGAGGCTACGCTTAGTCCACTTTCATCTCTGAGACTGGTTTTTTTATATAATGTTCTTAGAATGTTAGCTTCTCTCAGCCTGTGTGATAAGAAGTTCGTTATTCAAAATTTAAATTACAGCCTTGACATTCACAGTTTATGTTGTCTGCTTATCAGGTCAAAGAAATCTTGCAAGAAGAGGAAGACTTATCTGAGATTGTACAGCTTGTGGGAAAGGTTATACGATTGTTCATTGTTATTATCAAGAAAATAAGCTAACTAGGCTTCGGTTGTAGAGCTTCTCCGCCAACCAATCTTACAAACTATTTTCAAACTCTTAGTTGAATTTACAAACTCTTTGCTTGTTTCTGGCATTCAGTTTAGAGCAACGAGGAAAGTGCTGAGAGAAAGTGCTTCCCTGTTTTCATTCCTGTCCTTTTGATTTCTTTCTCTCGCCTTTCTTTTTTTTTGCGCTGCTTCCCCAAAAATCGAACGCCTGGAACAGGCTATTGAACTCTTGACTCCTGTCTTAAAACGTATCACAATATAATCAAAAAATAACATTACTACCGTATCAACGAGAGGTGATAATACACCCAAGGTTGAAGCTGTTGAACTGAAAAACTCTATCATCCCTCCCCTCCCCCTGTAATGATATTAACTCCCTTTTTTTTTTCCTTCAGGGCTCATTGGCCGAGTCAGATAAGATAACACTTGAAGTAGCAAAGCTGATCAAGGATGACTTCTTACAGCAGAACGGCTACTCGTCATATGACCGTTATTGTCCGTTTTACAAGACAGTCGGCATGCTGTCCAACATTGTAGCGTTTTACGATATGGCTCGGCACGCTGTAGAGACAACGGCTCAGTCTGATAACAAGATCACGTGGGCGGTGATTAAGGAAAATATGGGGCAGATTATTTACCAGTTGTCAAGTATGAAATTTAAGGTCAGTCACATTAGGGCTTATATGATGGTGATTATGATCAGTTTAATGGTTTAGTTCTTAAACTACTGCATTGTTAACAGATCAGCAAAATTACTGCTTATGTTTCAACTGAGAACGCAATGCAGACCAGTATCTTACCTTTGAAGGGACAGTAGTCGTGAAACGTGTGAGAAAATCAAACAACGTTTGCCCTTCAAGCCATATATCTACATACCTGACCTTTTATCAAACATGATTAAGAAATAATCTAAGTCGCCAGACCAATGCTCTGTCTACAACCACTACCTGTTTAAGGCTCATTTTACCAAGAGCAAAAGCGAAGTCAAATCTTCTCTAGCAACATGCGGCAAAATTGACTGAAATGTTCAAGGGAATTCAGTGTTTCATACATGTTGGTCTTTGATTGGAAACGATAACGTAGTGGCATATCGTCGAGGAAGGCAACTGGAAATTAAAATCTGTTCCGTGCTTCCTCTTTAGGGAATTTGATATTTGCCATGTCCTGAGTTTGTTGAAGCAACGCGCGCGCCCGCAAGAGAATAAAACAATTTTTCTTCTAGTCTTCTTCGTTTTTCCTTTTTCATTTTTTGGCTTGGGACTTATCCTCCTCATTTCTAAATGACTGGTGAGGTTTATACTTCGTAATGGTTTGTTATGAGACAGAAATAATTAACATTATATGCTTCTATTCATCATTCCAACACTCGGGTATTGTTGTATGAACTCTCTCCCGCAAGCAAGTCGCCCCAGTCCTTCACAGACATTGTTTTCTTCTTTTCCAGGACCCTAGCAAAGATGGCGAGAGAAAGATCAAAGCGGACTTTGCAGAACTCAGTGAACAAATGCAGCAGGCTTTCCGATCTTTGGAGGACTAGAAATTCCATCTCTTCTTTTAAATACGGACAACTGATATTGGCTTCATGTACACTTCTTATTTGGACAAAATGGAAACTAATATAAGGAACGATATAATTACCCTAAGTGAAACAATAAGCGTTCCATTGATTTGCGTCGTATTCAGATTGTTCGAAATTCTTGGTCAGATTATGTTGTCGTTAGTGAGTGATTAGGAGTTTAAGCAAACCCGACGGCAACGCCAAGGGCAACTTGGGTTATAAAAATGAATTTATATTCAAACTACGAGTCTCGAGAGAATCTAGACTCATTCAGTTTGTCTATCACTGTCAAAACTACCCCAAAACTGAATATGTAAGACAGAGGTGAAGTTCGAAAAGAGATGTTAAAAATTGGCCTTCTTGATTCACATTCTGTAGATTATGAGGAGTGTGGTCATTTCACGTTCTTGTTTTGTAGCGAACGGCAAAGAAATGTACCAAGAATTACAACGCACGTGTACAGCCATTTTACTGCTCATAAAATCTTTTTATTAGTGACGCTGCCGTTTCCGTTGCCGTTGTGGTTTGCTTAAACTACTCCCTATTGCGTACAGCTCAGGATATCCCCCTGGCATGCTGCATGCATAGTCAGCGTAACGAGTACGTTTCGTCGGAAATCCTCGTAATCCCCGAACACTCCCGATTACAACCAGAAACTGGCGCGAGCACGCATGACCGAGTCGAGCAGTTTACGTTGCTTAGCGACTGTCTCTGACCAATAGCACGGGCTCAGTTAAAGGTTTCCGAGCTGCCTTGGTTTTTGTTTTCCCGCCCCGCCTGAGAGAAAAATTTAAAGTTAAGTGTAGCTTTATTATTTTTCTTGTATAATTTGAGATTATGCTTACAATAACTTGGGCTAGTTGAGTGGTTAGTTAGCAATGTGTGTTTTCAAAGTTTCGTGCCAAAGTAGGTCCTGGAATTGTTGTGAATGGCACACTGGAGTTAGTAATGGTTTTGTAATTTATTCTTTACACTAGATCATAAATTTAGTCCAGATTAAATAAATTATTCACAATCGATTTTGATGTATAACTTAGATCTTCCAAAGTTAATTTCGGGACTGATCGACCACAGACCCAGAGGGGGAGTATGTAATCATTTAAATTAGGAATTTTAAAATTATTCGTTTTGCATTTTTACTCCTCCCCCTCTGCTCTTAACGAACAAAACAAGACATGGATACTAAATACCTGCTAAATGGCGTTTAAAGTTTGTAAATTTTGACAGTGATCGCGGAGTTAGTAATGTTTTGTAGGATTATCACTATAAGGTAATCTGTGATTCTAGGCTATTTGTATTGTGATCAGTACTTGTGTGTTATGTGCTGAAGATGGAATGAAGCAATGGAATTCGTGTATTTAAATTCATTAAATTGTATTTCAATGTTGCTTAGTGTCTTGTTTTGCGCGCTAAGCGAGAAAAAATGGTAAAACCAGTTAAAACCAGTTAATAGTACATGTCCTGTAAATGTTGTTATTACATGTTAATCATTTTTTTCTGTGATTTGAATTTTCTACATGGGTGTTAAATTTCGCGTGTTTAAATTTCGCTAGGATTTTTATTAGAGGGTCTTTAATTTTTTAGCGATTTCTTTACAATCGTGAAATTTATTACGCAATGTATAGGTTCAATGTACGTTGTACCTTATCTCAACATTCGAGATTTTTTCATGTGGTTACAGTTATCTGACATAAATCCATGACATGCTTGAAAGACATTTGGCAGTCGTTTTTTATCGCAGGGAGCAGTTGACGAAAAGTGACTGGGAGGGACGAGATAAGTTCGTGGCACTCCGCGCTTTTTAACGAGTGATAGCGTACCTAAAAGGAGCTATAGCAGTTAGTTGCGGAAGAAAAAATCCACCCGCTCGGTCAGTCTGTCAGTCGATGGTCCCATGTGGCAATTGCGCTCATGCGGGTATTTCGCGAGAGGGCAACAGTCGACAAAATGGCTGCCATGGCGATAAACCCATTTCGTATTTACCAGTTACTCTGCTCTCCTGCGTCAAAGTTGATTACCGACAGTGTTAGACTGTTGTTTTCCTTTGTCATTGTTCAAGGAAGATTATCCACTTGTTACTACACTTGTTGCTCTAAAGTATACTTCCCACGATGAATGTGCTCAACGAGAACGCGGATTGTTCTTCTGTCTCTGAGTTTTAAGAGCTCGCGTCTGTGTTTAATCTTAAGAGCACAATATGTTCGCTGCATTCTGATATGAAACTCTTCCAGAAGCTGCCTCATCTCTGCTTTGATCACAACTGGCTTTAGCTGAGGCTCGTTAAACTGGCCTGTGAAGACAGTGATTTTAAAGTAAGCATTTACTGGGTTCACTCGTACCACTGTGATGAAATCGTCCTCATGGCGCGTTAAGGATTATGAAGCGAGCGGAAACGTTGTGCATGTAGGAACAATATACAGTAAAAACCCACACGTGAGAGGCTTCATTTTTTGAGGTCTGGCAAAATACGTTCTTCTATGTATTTTGATGTAAATTGGCAATTTAGGCTAAGTAGGTTCTTAATTAGTTTCTTAATTTCTATGAGCTGAAGGAGCTATAGTCGTTGATTGTACCAGAAAAATATATAAACTTGGCCTTGGCTTAAAATATGCAGCATTTATTCTCAACTGTACTGTGTATTTTCTTGTAATATCCATTTGTAATCTCAAAGTCACACTCCTTTGCTAAAATGTTAATAATAATTTAGCTGTAACCCACATATAAGAACCTGCTTGAACCTGCCTCTCGAGGTTTTTGTATTTTGGGTATTGAAATGGAAAATTTCTGCCAGCAGGCTCTTAAACCACTGGGTTCTTAAACGCGGTTTTTATTTTTTATTTTTTTATTTTTTTTTATTGTGTTTTAATTGAAAATATTTTACTGAAAATGTTTTGTGATCAATTACTCTTCTGGAGTCTTACCTTTTCTACGTTTTAACCACACTTGTGTTAGATGATAAACGAGGCCACTGGTCGCGAATACAACGAAAATCAAGCCAGTTACCTTGACAGCTTGTTGGTAAAGGGAATTCTCTGGATCAAAGAACTCTATCGCTTCCTCCTTATCAGAAACTGTTGGAGTGGTTTCTGAGGAAGAACTGTCCAGGAAAGCGAGAAAAGGTTTTTGCTTCAAATATTCTTGGAAGTCTTCTAATAAGTGTGTCGCCTCTCCCGTGAGCTCAATGCCGTAATGAAACGATTTGGACACTGTTTTGGAAACTTCAAACTCGGAATCATTCAGGTCCTTAATCAAGGAGCTCACTGTGAAGACATCCTTTAATGTGCCATCTAACTCTCCTGACTTTAACCCTTGCAGTAGTGCATCCCTTGTGTCATAAAAAGTGCCTGAAAACCAACCGGTAATTCGTCATGAGTGAGATAAATTTCTTCTGTTTTGAATCCAGTCTTCCGGAGGAAAAAGACGGTGAATGGGGAGCAGGGGTAGCTTAGTAGCGAGAGCGCTCGCCTCCCACCATTGTGAACTAAGGCCTTGCATACGGATGGTGCGCCTGAAATTTGAGTTGACCAATCAGGATTTAGCAGGCGGGAAAAACTGTACTGTCCTAACGTCAATGCATGTTAAAAGGCAAGGCATTGAAATCGGGCAACCTTTTTCACCGGAGATGACATTAAATATTCACGAAAACGGATTACAATTCTACAAACCATGTCAGACTGCAAATAGCGAAAAATATGAAACATTTTGTTTTTCCAAGCTTCTAATTTGGCGCCAAAAATGGGTGGCCGGCGTTCGTATATAGTTCGTCGAGTGTCGCCAGCCGGTAGAATAATAGCTGTATTATTCTGAACAAATTATGCTGTTCATCGCCAAATTCTCGGAAATCTCAAGCTTACTATTAGAATTGGCCAAACCAACTTAAGCATTCTTTATTTTTGTCGGCTGCAAAGAAAGAGACTATTATCGTGTCGTTT